TGTTACCGTTTTTACGACATGGGACCATGCTTAAGTATGCAGGGGTTACCATTACAAACAAAAAACCAAACAGCTTAGGATGAGCAAAGATGCCATATGGCAAAATTAGTTGTGCCTCCTCCCCTAGAATCGCTCGCTAAGCACTGACTAGCAAAACTACCGCGACACCCAAGAGAGGAAGGCTGGGGATGGGATGGGCTGAGGCAGAGGAGCATGCTTGATTTAGTAGTGAAGGTCTCTGACGTGGCTAAGGAGAGACCCCTTCAGCGGCATCATACCACAGTTCTTTGTGTTGAGCTTCCTTTGTGGGCTAAACCGCAGGAACTCAGGCAACTTCTAGACTATAACATAGAAAATGGAACAAAGACTTATATTGTATAATTGAAAAAGCTAATTTCGTAGTTTTAGAAGTTCAAGTAAGTTTCTGCTAGCAACAAACCTTTTAGCACTCCCTTGGGAAGCCAGACATCTCCTGCTGTCCCCTGCCACAGTCTCAAGGCTGTTCTACTGTCTGAGTGCTGCTGAGTCTAGCTATGCACATTCCTCCACAGGGAGGCTCCAGAGCAGTTCAAGAGAGACCACCTGGTTGGGAATGGGAACTAGGGCACTTGTCTTGAAATTGGGTGCACACAGAAAGGATGGTGTGCTTACAGGTTTATTCCGTTGTTAGGAGTACTCCCAGCAATCCCATAGCTCATGGTCATTCCTCACTCTACTACTTAGTGGAGATGTCTGATTGGGCAAGATATTCAGCCTACAGGGTCTTATTTATATCATGTGCAAAACTTCAGGAGGTCTATATTCCTAAAATGGTTGTTGTGAAGGTTGTGTGGTGTAAGATTTGCCAAGTTCCTAAAAAAGTACTTTCAAATTCCAAATTCACCACCCTTGAATTGATTCGGACTCACAGCGACCCTATAGGGCAAGGCAGATCTATTCCTGTGGAGTTACAAGACTGTAACTCTTTACCAGAGTAGAAAGCCTCGTATTTCTTCCAGAGAACAGCTGGTGGTTTTGAACTGCTAACCCTGTGGTTAGTAGCCCAATGAATAATCACTAAGTGACTAGGACTCCTTAGTGCCTGCTTCATGGTAAATACCAGGCAAATATTCATTATTGAAAATAATATTTACTTTGTTGTTGTTGTGAGGTCTCATCGAGGTAGCAGTGACCCATAACAATCCTATGCACAATAGAACAAAGCCCTGCGTGATTCTGTGCCACTGTCACAATTGCTCTTATGCCTGAACCTATCGATGCAGCCACTGTGTCAATCCATCTCATTAGAGAGTACTCTTGTCAGGCAAAGAGTGGGCCTTCCTCTTTTTCACTGCCCCTCCACTTTACCAAACATGATGTCCTTCTGCAGGGACTGGCCTCACCTGACAATAAGTTTCAAATATGTAAGATGTAGTCTTGCCATCCGTCGCTAAGGAACACTGTAGCCTTGCTTCTTCCAGGAGATAACTATTTGTCCCTTTAGCAGTCCGCGATACTTGGATATTCTTCATCAGCCCCACAATTCAAATGCATTCATTCTGGCATGATCATCCATACTCAGTGTTCAACTTTCACATAAAGATGATGCAATGGGGAATGCCATGGCTTAGGTCAGATGCACCTTAGTACTCAGGGTAACATCGTTGCTCAATACTCTAAAGAAGTTTGTTTGTTTGTTTGTTTTACTTAGCATGGAAATTTGCATGAGGGTATTGCTGAAGGAAGTGGTTGGTAGTGAAGGAAGTGCTCATAATCCTTTCAAGCACGCTTGGCATCACACGATTCCTTTTCTACATCATAGACACGGGCTCCTCCTTTTGCAGCTCCTCACGTCCCTTATTAATGATCCTGGTTACCAGCAACACGTCTATCCCAGAGATCACAGCCTGGGACTTGTCACTTGCTCGGGGACATCTAAAATCGATTTTACACATCTTTCTGCTTCTATTTCAACCAGCATCAGCTCAATCATTGTCTCCCTCTGGTTGTTGCTTACTAAACAGGAGGATTCATTAAACAGCTGTTACATGTCTCCTATGATCAATTCCCTTACTCCCTTTCCTGACATTGTAGTGTTAATCTGAAACTCTTGGGAATTTCCAAGACTACAGTCCTCTCTGAGATTCAGCATGAAAAGGCCAATTGGGTCGGTGTCTTTCTCCAGTGTCCTACACATCTGCTGGAGGAGAATATATGCATGCATGTATGTGTGACAATTTTCATATCCTTGCATTTAAAAGTTGTAGGTATCTTCTTGGATAATTTTACAAACAAATGTTATGTATTTTATATATATATATATATATATATATATGTTTTTTTTTTTAAATTAGAGGGCTATTTAAGAGGAGAACAACTAGACATACCCCGAAATCAAGTCTGGAAGTAAATTATAAGATCAGCACACTGGTAGGCTAACAGCTCATGGTAGGTGTACCAAATGATTCCCAAATTGAAACACACTCTGATTATAAATGCAGTGCTAACACTTGCAAGAAAGGCAACAGAGGAGATCTGGCAAAAGTGAATTGACAACACTGACATCATCTTGTCACAGGGATCCCACCCCGAGTAGCACATGTAGCGGGCTGGCAGATACAGCCCTACTGGATAGGGACTACGTCCTGCCAGGTGTGCCTTATCCTGATTGCTTTGAACGTTGGCAGCACATAAATCACTCTGCACTGATTACATAATCGTCTAGCATCATTCTGGTACAGATGCTCATGAAGTTTTCCACAATGACTAGAGAATACACTAGTCAGGCCAAAGACAGTACGCCAAGCATTTCAAAGTTGTTTGTCCTTTTCTAACTGAATGATTTGTTAGTCTAGTTCATTTTCCAATGTCTTAGATACTTGCTTTCAAAGCAGAAAGCCAGCTATTAGACTGTAATAATTTTACTAAATTAATTCAACTCTAAGGATTACCACCAAATATTGATGAGTATGCCAAGCACCAAATAGCTCTTTGGTGGGGTGAAATTTGTCAAACAAATTAAGAGTGCTTTGTTCAAAGGCGAACGTGCAACTTTGCTTGTGGCCAGATTGAAGAACGCTGGTGAAGATGTGCTCGGAGCTTAAATTTTTCTTGTCAGGAAAACCTTTATTTACCAGTGAACTACTGGCTTTGCCTGTCCTCACTCATTTGCATAGCACACAGGTATAGAACATCTACTAACTGCAAAGTACTATGCCAGATTGTTGTTGTTGTTGTTGTTGTTGTTGTTAGGTGCCTTCGAGTTGGTTCCAACCCATAACAACCATGTTCACATCCGAACAAAATACTGCCCAGCCCTTACATCCTAAGTCTTGTTCCTATGCCTGAGCCCATTGTTTCAGTCCCTATGTCAATCGGTCTCGTTGA